TGCAGCGGTTCCCGGTAGAATTTTTTTGATGAATTTTTTTTAGCATCTTCTTCATTAAGTCTAGTTTACCCATATCAAATTTCAGCTAAAAATTAAATCGGGAAGGCAGTCAAATGATTTTCCAAAATGTACTGCGTTGTTTAACTGCGCAGTTATCTTCAAAAAATCATTTGACTGCCTTCCCGGTTGAGTTTTTAGCTGAAATTTGGTATAGGTAAACTAGACTTAATGAAGAAGATGCTCAAAAAATTTCATCAAAAAATGCAACCGGGAACCGCCCCAATTGACGACGTCCGGGCAGAACCTTCTATATAAGGGACTAATTGAACACTTTAAGTTAGTTCATGTACCTATTTGACCCTTTAGCCAAACAATAATAAATTCATAAATAGGACTATAATTATATATTTCTAAAATATGATTTATTCACTGCTGTTTTGGAAAATTTTAATCACTTGAAATTGTTAAATGTGTTCGTTTGATTGAGTTAAAATTATATTGTAAAATTGTAATTTGTGCAATGATTTTCATTATCATAGTTTCATGCAAGTTATAAAATGATTAATTTCTGTACTTTTATGAAAATATTTTTAACAAAGAACATTTTCATATCATTTTTAGATTGTAAATAATTTCTAATCAAAATATAATTTCACAGTGGAAAAAGTGAACTGGTTTGCAGTTTTCATGGGAGGAATGATTTTTATTTGAACTGCACCATGTATATTGTGCAAATTGTGCTTATTGTGCAAACGTTTGTACGATATTTCTTTATGTTATTTGTATTGCATATTGAGGGTCAAAGTCTTGCACATTATTCAGCCATAAAACAATAGTTGCATATTAACGTTCAAAGAGTTGCATCCTAAAAAATTGGTTTTTATTACAAAAATGCCACCTTAGCCTTTATAGCTAGCCTTTAGATCAACTCGATCATCTAATGGTTAAGATGAGTTTGTAGTTTGTAAATTTGGGGAGGGATTTTTATTTGATCCCTTATATATATTAAGGTCTTATAACATGTATAGAGTAGCTCAAGAGTGTATCTGTATCTTTTGTTTAAATAAAACATAGAAAAAAGCTGGACAGCGTGGGCCGGTAGGAAAAAGAGAGAAAAACTCCGGAAGAAGTAAAGAAATATAAAGAAATTGCTCCAAAAGGAGTAAAACATCAATATAATTTTAAGAAGGAACAAGTGATGATCATAATTTTTCCCTTTCTTCTATGATTTACTCTAAGTAGTAGATGACAAGTGTAATAAACTAATAATGTTACAGAAGTAACATAGAAACTTGTTAATATCCTCCTAAAATATTAATTGAGTGATTTAAAAAGTATGAATTTGATTATGTTCACACACAAAAGTACACATTGGATTTGGTATCTTTTTGATGAGTGCGTTTGGGTAATAGCGTGTTTGTTTCCAATCTGCCGTTTCTTCCAAAAGAAAACGCTGCTTTTAGCAGCGTTTAGGTCTCGATCCGCCAAAATACAAACCCGACCAATATGAGATCCACATTAACGAATAGAAGATAGTGAGAAGACATATTTAATAATTTTTTACTCAAGAGAAGCTATGAAACAAATTGAAGTTACGGCCATCAATTACATAATACCAATTGATTAGTTATGTACACTTTTGGGAGTTCATTATTAGGTATAGTTATGTGCCCCACGTTGTTTAGCGCCCCGACTGTTTTAACTAGAAATTAAACTAATCTACATATAAATGGGTTGGGAATCAAGCAAAGTAAAATCGACAATGGATAATATGACTAAGAATCAATAATTATGTAAAAGTGTATGTATTGAGTGATCTGAGCAATATATTTTGAGTACAAGGCAATAGCTAATAGGATCGTAAAAAATGCCCCCTTCCTCCTATGGACTACGTTAGTACTCCGTATTTATCAGACAAAATTTGCTCCTTCCTCAAGTATTGCAACCGTCCGCCTATTTCTCCTCCACGTGCATCCATTCTATTTTGACCTACTCCCAAACTTAGAGCATCTCCGATGCTCTTGCTTTTGACACTAAAAATTCCAGCCACGTAACCACATGCGAAACTGCTTCAATTTGTTTTGCTCCAATGCTCTCTTTGTTGGGCCCGGATATTATCCCTCCAAGTGGGCCGATGGACTAAAAAGATGGGTCTTTGGGCAACTGACACCATTGTAACTATTAGAATCGGAGGATCCAAACAGAGGACAGGTCCAATTATTATCCTTGATAATTCAAAATGGAGATAAGGACGAGGAAGAAATCAAACGCTAAGAGCTGCAGCACGTGGAGAGAATAGGCTTGCAGTTCCTATTCTTGGGGAAAAAGTAAATTTTATTCAAATAAATAGACTAGCTTAATCTATTTGTAAAGATGGATCACAGATATATTCCAGAGCAGCTACACACACTCATACAATACTCACATAGTCATATATTACTTCGTAGATTGTACTCAAGCTCTCGGCCAACAGAAAAGGCCAAATAATATATATTTTATATTCCATATTTCAGTTCACCATTGTTGATTCTTTTTGCTTGATTCCCAGTTTAATTCTTCCAGTTTATATTATTTCTTGTTCAAACACCGACCCCCTCGTGCTGTGGACTTGCGGATCGAATTGTGCCCTTCCCAAGCGATAATGCGTGTGTACGTATACGCGCATGAATGCCCATCACCATCCCTTTTTCACGAAGCGTTAAATGAGAGTTCTTTGTCATTTAAAATTATAATTTCTCAACTAACGCCTGAGTTAAGAAAAACTTTCAATTATCCCCCTAAACTTGATAATAAATAAATAAATTTCATTTTTTTTGGGTAATGGATCCGTCACCATCACTTCAGATCACCCGAGAAAGTGTCAATTGTGCATCTGACGTGGCAACTTAAGGGGTCAAATGAGCCTCTAAACCCAACTGAATTCTTCGATTCACACCTCAACCGTTAAAAAATGTCAAAATTATGAAAAAAATATAAAATATAAAATACAAATATAAATAAAACACAAGTAGGAAATATAAAATATAAAAATGAAATGATAAGAATAATAGAATGGCTACTACTTTGTATATGTGTGCTTGTATGGTGCTTGATTTAGTTGGAAATCACTATTATAACTTAGTGTTGCCTTAACTAAAGCTTCAAAAAAACTATTTGATCGAACCATCCTGTTCTTGAAAATTAGTTTTCTTAAACAAAATGTGGTTTTGATTTCATATAACCAATCTTCTATTCAACGAGGATCGAGGTGAGAATTTAATCTTGTTATTCATGATAAAACTTAACATAATGATGTTGAAGTCTCGCACAAATGGTAAACTATAATATACGTAGTAAGAGAGTTGTGCGTTACTCCTCCTATCAGGTTATCATTTTAGGGCAGAATCTCATATCTTAAGATGGTTTCAGAGTCAAACTGAGATTCCATAATCATGGTGTGTGTGCCCCTTATGAAAAATGACTACTCGTTTTTTTAAAGGCTAAAGGGTCAAATAGGCCCTTGAACTAACTTAAAGTGTTCAATTAGCCCCTTATATAGGAGGTTCAGCCCGACCATCGCCAACTGGAGAGGTTCCCGGTGGAATTTTTTGATGAAATTTTTGAGCATCTTCTTCATTAAATCTAGTTTACCCATATCAAATTTCAGCTAAGAATTAAATCGGGAAGGCAGTCAAATGATTTTCCGAAATGTACTGCGTTGTTTAACTACGTAGTTATCTTCAAAAAATCATTTGATTGCCTTCCCGTTGGAAGTTTTAGCTGAAATTTGATATGGGTAAACTAGACTTAATGAAGAAGATGCTCAAAAAATTTCATTAAAAAATTCCACCGGGAACCACCTCAATTGACGACGGCCGGGCAGAACCTCCTATATAAGGGGCTAATTGAACACTTTAAGTTTTTTAAATGACAATGACGAACCGACGAAAAAATGAATGATGGAACGATCCAGACGAAGTGTCTGGTCGTGAGAAGAGGATGTTCAAGTCTACACTGGTAAAATACAAAATAATAAAATGATATATCAAGATCGATCCTAATTTAATTCTCCTATCAAGTTGGTCTTTTAAGATAGAACCTATGTGATCTTAACAAATAATGTTAGGTTTAATTTCTTTTGTGACATACTTACTTGATAAGGATCTTATCTAAGTTGAACATAATTCCTTGACTACCTTGGTCCTTGGTAGCTAACTTACTATGTGCCTTTTGTGATGGTTATTGCATGCTTGGATCTTTGTGATTGGGAGTGTGTACTATATGTACTTTCCAGCCTCACTTGTAATAACTGGGTGATTTTGGAGGTTTCTCGACAATGATGAGTCCACCGAATGCCATTTCCTGTTATGAATCATCTTGCGCCAGAGGTGGAAATGGCTGGGTGGATTGGCCCAACCCAACTTAGCTCATTGTTACTTGTATCCGTTCTTAGCCCACTCCTTTTGTTGTCCTCGATCATTTTTATAACCCTCTCTTGCATTTCCATCTGATCATCTAGTAGTAGTAATTTTAAAAGATTTTAGCTTTATGTATGTATGACAAACATATATAATTTCGAAGTATTTAATTACCTAGTATATATTTGTGTGTATTAGTTAGTGTATACTATACATGTAGAGTAAGCATTTAGAGTGTAGGACTCGTGACAATATCAATTTCATTGTCAATTTTTTTGACCAAAATATCAAAAGGTTTTTCAAGACTAATTTGATTATATAATTGACTTATTCTACTAGTTGAATTGAAGGCTCTAGTGTTGGCAATATAAGCTACACGCCTTACGTGCTCTTACAGTAAAAAGAAATAGTACGGAAGTGCTTGTAAAGAGTACGTATGACCATTTTCTAAGTCAGCATAGACGGTAAGATGATGGTCCAATGCGAGTTCAGACAATATTCCACGTAAGAGATTGATTTCACTTGCCAACAATATTAGATTAGATTATACTACGTAGTAGATCAGGTTAAACATTGGACAAAAATATATGTAAATAAAACTTACTCAGTCCTTTTTTTGGGGAAAGAAAACTGCTTATATTAAATTCCTAAAAACAAACATTCAAACGTCCAACCAAATCAACAATCAAACATCATTCTTACTTTCTACCCACGACATCCCTGTAAACACCATATAACCAATAGACCCTCTCACTCGCTGATCAGACATATAATAAACCTCCCAAAGCTGAATGAGACTAATCGCTGAACATACGAGAGATTCAAAGCTATTATCGGAAAGATTAGCCTGATTGCTTCCTCACATTCTCACATCAAAAAACCAACTATCCCCTAACCCGACTAGCAAAATAAAAAAGCAGTACTAAAAGCTAAAATTACACACGACATATAAATGAATAACACTGAATCGGATATAACAATAATTAAAAGGATAAATTTTTTGACTCCTAGCACCTCATTTGATCCATGACGGTGGTTCAGGAGGAGACCAGTTCAGGAGGAGGCCGATCCATCAGGACCGTTGCGAATGATTCTTCATCGCCAATCGAACTTTGGCCTTCATCAAACCCGTCGCCTGACATCATTCTGGGACTTGCTGGAAACAAGGCTTTGCCGCTGACCATAATTGACATCGTTCGCTGCACACAAACTGCCACTAGCAGATTCCGCCGACTCAATTGCGGCATCGCTCTCACCAACAAAACCCTGCACACAAACTGCCGCCTTGACTACATGGTTGGTCCTTGCCTCTGCCGAGACCTATGTCGTCCGTTAAGCTTTTCAAAACTATCTTGCGAGCAAATCTTCCACAATCCAAACCCTAGGCCAACTGGAGCCTCCGTCTGCTTTCCTTTTTAACGATATACTTAATAAATATACTTGCAGAAAGCCTTCAAACAAGCTTAGATCGATGATGAAATTGGATCTGCAGCAGTCGCGTTCTTCAAAAATCTTTATTCTGTTGAACCTGAGGTCTCTTCTGACCAAATTTTTCAATTTATACCTGAAATCATTACAGAGGAGGATAATGAAATGCTTAATATTTTACCAGAGGAGGAGGAAGTTAAAAAGGCAGTCTGGGAGCTTAATCCTAAGGGAGCTCCTGGCCCAGATGGTTTTAATGGTAAATTCTTCAGAAAATGTTGGCCGATTGTGAGCAAAGATGTGACAAGGGCAGTGCAGGAATTCTTCATGGGCATTAATATTCCTGCAGGTCTATCTAGTTCTTGGATTGTTCTTATACCTAAAACAAATAGGCCATCCTCTTTTGCAGATTATAGGCCTATTTGTCTTTCCAACTTTGTGAGCAAAGTATATATGTACTAAGGTATTGGCTAGCAGACTTAGTAATATTTTGCCCAAAATTATATCCAAGGAGCAAGCAGGATTTATGCAAGGAAGGGATATAGCTGATCAGGTTCTTGTGGCTCAGGAAATGATACATTCTATTGATAAGAAGATAAGAGGAGGCAACATTGTGATTAAATTGGATATAGCTAAAGCTTTTGACAGGGTCTCGTGGAGCTTTTTATCTGAATAATCTCTAACCAGTTCATTAAGTTGGTTCTGAATAATCTCAAATCTACTTTCCTATCAGTCTTGGTAAATGGTATCCCCCAAGGTTTTTCCTATCTACTTTCTCCCTTTTTATTTATTATTGCTGCAGAAGGTTTCACTAGAGGTCTTAACTGGCATATGGATCAAGGTTTAATAAAGCCATTTTGGATGGGTAATCAAGGATTTCCTATATCACATCTAGGGTTTGCAGATGATATACTGGTTTTCCTAAATGGGGAAATAAGATCTGTAATCAGGTTCAAGAAATTTATTGAATCTTACCAATTAGCATCTGGGCAGGCTGTTAATCTGGATAAGAGCTCAATTGTGTGTGGTAAAACTGCTGAGAGAAGGAGCAGAATTATCAAAAATGCCTTAGGCATGAGTCTCTCTTCTCTTCCTATGAAGTACTTGGGAGTAAACCTGCACAGGGGAATTAACAGATTTAGCTATTGTAATCACCTGATCAAACAGTTTGAGAAGAAACTAACCCCTTGGAGACAAAAAAACCTATCTCAGGGTGGCAGGCTAATATTGATTAAACATGTGCTCAACTCTATCCCTTTGCATACTCTGGCCACTGATACTCTGCCTAGAAAAGTCATAAGAATTTTAGAAGGTAAAATGGCTGATTTCTTTTGGGGATCATCTGCTCAGAAGAATAAGTACCACTGGAAAAGATGGTCTCAGTTATGTGGTCCTAATGAAGAAGGAGGTTTGGGGATTAGGTCACTAACTGACTTAGAGAAGTCTTTTACACTAAAATTGTGGTGGAAATGGAAGACATGTTGCACTTTATGGAACACTTTTATTAATGCCAAATATCCCAGGGGTGAAAACCCCATACCTAAAATTACAGACTCTCCCACATGGAAAAGAATTTGTGCAATTACTTCTGAAGCTATCTCCGTTTGCTCTTTTAGTTCTTCAGGGGTGATTTGTTGGAACTTGGAGCAATCTGAGTGTTTCAGTCTTTATAGAGAATGAATTTTCCCTGTGTTTGTATTCACTGATGTTAAACTATATATACAACAAGTACAACAACCTCACTCCCTAAATACAAGGCACGATAACCACTAACTACACAAAAGTAGGAACTCAAGTTTGAACAATTCAAAATTATTATACACAGCAATATTTTAACTATTAGCCCCCCGCAAGCGCAAGAACGGGGCGGACTTGAAGCTTGGGACGAAGAAAAGTAAGACGATCCTTGGCCAATGGTTTAGTGAATATATCTGCCAACTGATCCACGGAAGACACATGACAGATTTTTAGAGCTCCAACCTCAACCTGTTCACGAATGAAATGGAAATCCAAAGCAATGTGCTTAGATCGAGTGCGAATTACAGGATTCTTGCTCATGAAAATGGCACCAACATTATCACATAACAAGAGAGGAGTGTGAAGAAGCGGAGCATGAAGATCTGTAATGAGTTGTTTGAGCCACAGTAACTCAGCTGTAGTGTAAGCAAGTGACCGATATTCTGCCTCCGTACTAGACCGAGCAACAACCCGTTGCTTCCGAGAGGTCCAGCTAATGAGATTAGGTCCATGAAAAATTGCATAACCATATTGGGACCGACTGTCATCAGTATCTGAAATCCATCCAGCATCGGAATAAGCAAGAAGAGAATTAGCCTTAGTAGGAGTAAAATGCAGACAGTGATGAGAAGTCCCCTTTAAATAGCGCAAAATCCTTTTTGTGGCCTGCCAATGAAGAGTAGTCGGGGAGTGCATGAACTGGCAAACTCTATTGACGGCATATGCAATGTCAGGACGGGTGATGGTGACATATTGGAGCGAACCCACAATCTGGCGAAAAAGTTTGGGGTCAGAAAAAGGATCACCATGACAAGTAAGCCGAGAAGTGGGATCAGCTGGGGTAGAAATAGGCGAGGCTTCTGACATGTGAGAGCGCTGCAGAACGTCTTGAATATAGCTCTGTTGGGACAGTGTGATACCAGTAGAACTTCGGTTGATTTGCAAGCCCAGAAAAAAATGCAGATTTCCAAGATCTTTGAGAGCAAAAACCTGGTGCAACTGAGTGATGAATTTCTGAATATGAGCTGCATTTTGACCGGTGATAATCAGGTCATCCACATAGACAAGAATGTATATGATGGAGACGGAAGAGATGTGAACAAACAAGGAGGGATCTGACTGACACGCTCTGAAACCGTGAGTGACAAGATAATGTTTCAGCTTGTTGAACCACGCCCGCGGAGCTTGTTTGAGGCCGTAAATAGCTTTGTGAAGACGGCACACATGAGATGGACGGGAGGGATCCTCAAAGCCACGAGGTTGTTTCATGTACACCTCTTCAACTAAGTCACCATTAAGAAAAGCATTGTTGATATCAAGCTGTCTAATACACCATCCCTGCGACATGGCAATCGAAAGGACCAACCTGATCGTGGTTGGCTTAATAACCGGACTGAATGTGTCAAAGAAGTCGATACCTTCCTCCTGATTGTATCCTTGGGCAACCAAACGAGCTTTATAGCGCTCAATGGAACCATCCGAGTGGCGTTTGATCCTGTAAATCCACTTACAACCAACGACATTGACATTAGTAGGACAAGAAACAATAGACCAAGTGTTATTTCGCATGAGAGCATCATATTCTGCTTTCATCGCCTGCTGCCAGCAAGTGTGTTTAATGGCCTGAGCAAAAGTATGAGGCTCACAATCAGAAGGAGAAGAGGTGGCAGTGAGGAAGGTTTTTGGTTTTAAAGAGTTTGTGCGGGCACGAGTAACCATAGGGTGAATGGTTTTATCAGCAGGGCGATAATGAGACGTAGAGGAAGGAGTGTGTTTAGCGCGAGAGCTGACGGTGGACTGTTGGTACTGAGAGGAACGTGGAACGGGAGGAGTAAGAGGTGGGGGGGAAGGTGGGGAAGGATGTGAAGAAGAGGACACCACTGGAGCACAGGACACTGGTAAGGCAGCAGCCTGTTGAAGGAGGTCTGGTGAAGCAGGCGATGAGGGAAGCAGGGGAGGAGATACCGAAGAAGAAGAAATAGAGGGATACGGAAAGCATTCTTCGTTGAAAACAACATGACGGGAAATATAAATGCGAGATGACGGTTTATGAAAACAAAGATAGCCTTTGTGAGCAGCACTATAACCAATAAACACACATGGAAGAGACCGAAAGTCAATTTTATGTGCGTTATAAGGCCGTAAAAAGGGATAACAAAGGCAACCAAATGTTTTCAGAAAACCGTAATCCGGGGATTTGTTATACAGCTTTTGATAAGGACACTGGTAATTGAGAATAGGGGTAATGGTGCGGTTGTGGAGATAAGTAGCCGTTTTAAAGGCATGTTCCCAGAAAACCTGTGGAAGGGAGGATTGTGCTAACAGTGTAAGGCCTTTTTCAACAATAATACGGTTCCGCCGTTCAACAGCGCCATTCTGTTCTTGAGTGTAGGGACAAGAAAGGCGATGCTGAATGCCATGTTGTTTAAGATAGGCAGAAACATTTCGGAATTCACCACCCCAGTCAGACTGGAGACTTTTAATGTGACAATTAAATTGCGTTTTTATCATTTTTCGAAATTGGACAAAAGTAGAGAAAACCTGTGATTTATGAGACAGAAAATAAATCCAAATAAATTTAGTGCAATCATCAACAAATAAAACAAAGTAGCGATTTCCATTTATGGAATATAGGGGAGATGGTCCCCAAACATCAGAATACATCAAGTCAAAAGGTTTTGTAGAGGGAATGTGGGCGGTAGGGAGCGGGGAACGATGACTCTTTCCTAATTGACAAGAAGTACAAATATTTGGGAAACTATGGGAAGAAACTGGAAGATTAAACAAAGAGATAAGACGCCTTAAAACAGCCTCATGAGGATGAGCAAGGCGTTGATGCCAGCCATGAAGAGTTGTGCGTGCCCCAGTGAGTGCCATGGTAGAAGGAGTTTTATTTGTGGTGAGAGGCAGTCGATATAAGCCATGTTTAAGATCCCCTCGAAGAATGGTGCGACCCTGAAAATCCTTAATACAGCAATGAGTAGGCCAAAATTCCATGAAAACATTATTGTCACTGGTTAATTTAGAAACACTAAGAAGATTTTTGGTGAGTTCAGGAACAATAAACACACTAGGCAAACAGAGATTAGGCAAAGAACATGAACCAACATGAGAAATAGACAGATGGTTACCATTGCCAACTTGTAACTTGTCATCACCAGAGTAGTCATCAGCCACAGAGAGCTTGTGAAGATCCGGAGTGACATGATCAGTGGCACCCGTATCAAAGTACCAGGCTGGATCCATCACAGTAGAAGAGCTGCCAGACTGAGTGATATGAGCTTGACGAGATGGAGGTCTGGGATTGGTCCGGCGAGAAGGAAAATCAACCTGATTGGTACGCTGCCAACAATCAATGGCCTCGTGACCAGGCTTACTGCATAGTTGACACATAGGGCGACGACGGCGATTGTCATTGGGGCGGTTTGAAACCACAACATGAGATGAGTTGCTGGGACCAGAAGTGGAACGATTGGACGAACGATGGACAGTAAAAGCGGAGGAGCCAGGAGGAGGAGGCGGTGGGAGGTGGTTGGACTGAGAGATAACCACAGCCTGGCGAGCATGCTCCTGATCGAGGCGCGCCTCCTCTTGAAGGAGGAGACCGAAAAGGTCATCAACAGAGACGTCATCGGACTTCATCATGAAGGCCATACAGAACGCAGCATAAGAAGAATCCAAACCGGAGAGAATGTGGCCCATAAGGTCTTCATCAGAAATGGGATGAAGGTTTTCGGCAAGAGAATCGGCAATGGAGCGTTTGCGCTCAAGATATTCCAACATAGAGAGGGAACCTTTGGATAAAGTCTGCAATTGAACCTTCATAGACATGCGGCGAGCCCGGGTCTGAGCCTGAAACGTCTTCTCAATAGCCGTCCAGGCCATATGAGAGGAAGTCGCACGAACGACCAAGGAAAGGGCACGGTCAGATAAGGTGGATTTAATCCACAGGAGAACAAAACGATCACGCTTCTTCCAGAGAGCAAAATCAGGGTTGGATGCGGTAGTGGATAAACCGGCATCATCAGTGACAACGTGGGTTGCGGACGGTGGGGAAGGATTCAGAATGAAATCCTCAAGATCGAAGGTCTCAAGAGCAGAAATGACGGTGGATCGCCATAAGGAGTAATTCTCCCTATCCAGTTTAATGTGTATAGACGGGAGCTGTAAATTGAGATTGGAAGTGGTGGTGTGGGCAAGGGCCAAAATTGAGGAACTGGGAGCAGCCATGGAAACGTGGGTATGAGAGGGAAAAAAAAAATTAGGTGGCTCTAGATACCATATAGAGAATGAATTTTCCCTGTGTTTGTATTCACTGATGTTAAACTATATATACAACAAGTACAACAACCTCACTCCCTAAATACAAGGCACGATAACCACTAACTACACAAAAGTAGGAACTCAAGTTTGAACAATTCAAAATTATTATACACAGCAATATTTTAACTATTAGTCTTCAATCTGCTTATAATTTCATTAGAGAGGAAAATGTTAGTACCTTTGTTGACAAGCATATCTGGCATCCAAGACAGCTTTTAAAGGTAAAACTTTTTCAATGGAAGCTTATACATAACTGTCTGCCTAGCACAAGTAACTTAAAGAGATTCAGCCTTGTCCTGAATCCTTCAATATGTCCATTATGTAGAAGCAGTGCAGACACTACAGATCACTTGTTTTATCAATGTAGTATATCCTTTCCTATTTGGAGTTATTTTATGGGGCTATTTGGCATTCTAACTCCCCATAAAGATACCTCAATTAGGCAAGTTTTAATCTTGTGGTGGCTTAAAGTTGGTAGCAAAAAGCTGGAGGATATTTTTAAACATAACCTCCCTGGGATTATTTGCTGGAATATTTGGAAGGTCTACTCTAATATCATATGGGGCTCTGGAAATTGTCAAGCTACGGCTTCTTCTATTATTATGCAGATTAAGATGTACACGCAACAATGGATTTATTCTATGAAGGATTTGAGAATTTCCACATCTTGTGAAGTCTTATTTGAAGAAAATTTGCTGCCAAGAAATATAAAGCTCACAGGTAGGAGGTACAGGCTCATAAAATGGATTAAGCCAATTAGTGGTATGAAATTGAATGTTGATGCCTCTTTTTTACCTGACCGAGCTATGGGAGGTGCGATTATGCGAGATAGCAGCGGCAAAATGGTTCTTGGCGTTCGGTTCCCCGTCATAGCTTCTTCACCATTAGAGGCAGAGCTTAAAGCGATTTTAGGTGCAACGAAATTGGCGCTGCAATTGGGATTTGAAAAGTTTTTGGTGGAAGCTGATTCTTGGGAGGCCATTCTCTTTATGTTGGGCAAGGAAAATCGCAGGTGGAAGATGGAGATTCAGGAAACTTTGCTGGCATCGAACAGGAAAGGGGTCGGTTTCAGGCATACCTTACGTGAAGGAAATTGGGTAGCTCATCATCTAGCCAAGGATGGGTCGGCCCAATTTGAATTATTTAGCAGGCCAAGTAAATTGCCTAGATCTGTCAGGAAGGCCTACATCATGGATTTTTATGGATTGCCATCATTTAGATTTTATAATTTGTTCTTTTAAATTGGGTTTGGTTTGGTCCCCTCAATTTCTTTCTGAATTTGTTTTATACTGTATCATGTACTAATTTATCCTTAATAAAAACTGGTAAATGTCCCCCGACATTTACCCCACTGATTTTGGTGGTTGACCTTCCGGGGTAAAAAAAAAGCTTAGATCGATGATGATGATGATAGTAATGATGATGATGATGATGATGATGATGATGATGATGGTGGTGGTGGTGGTGGTGGTGGTGGTGATGACGACGACGACGACGACGACGACGACGACGATGATGATGATGATGATGATGATGATGATGATGATAAAATTAATAATACTAACAGGGCTGATCCTAATAGTTTTTTGGCCCGAGTCAAACAAAATAAAAAGGCCCTTTAAGAGTGATTTAAATTGAGTTTCGAAAAGCGAAACGAAAGTCCTTTTAGGGACGGAGGGAGTAAAACTTATTAGCAAAATAAAAAAAAGTCAATTACAATTACCCTAAGCTTTAATTAGCAACGATTTAAAAACGTCATGAAATTTATGAAATTCTAAAATGGGCAAAATTGACATTTAAAAAGTAAAAACACCACAACAATTGAAAATATGGTGACTTTAGATTAACTTACCTCAGGAGGCTAAAACTATATGCTGAAAAATTAAAACCTGAAATTGACCTTTGGGAAGTTGACAAAGGTAACTAATATTTTGTGGGTCCTTAATTTTTATCCAATATTGTGGGCCTGAGGCAATAGCCTCTTGGCCTCATGTAAAGGTCCGGCCCTGAATACTAATAGTAATAGTAATAGTAATAATAGTAATAGGGGATGGGTTCGGTTCTTGCGGTTCGGTTTTGACCTAAAACCAAATATAGAACCAAAGTTAAAAGTTCGGTTCGGTTTCGGTTCGGTTTCACACTCCAAAACTTGGAACCACGGTTTGATTGGTTCGGTTTGTTTCGATTCGGTTTCGGTTTTTTTTGGTTTTTACCAAAAAATTATCATTTGATTTAAAATTGATATAATACTTTGAGGGGTCAAACATATTACATAAAGAATGCAAGCGCAATAAATAAAAATGAAAATAAATAAATATGTCTTGAATGATATATGAGTATGGAAGAGAGATAAAAGTATATATATTATTAATTTACATTGTTTGTGACTAGTTAAAAAATCATGAATACATAAGTTCTATGTGATATAGTTGAGATGAATATTTATTGTTTCATCAATATGAATTCTTTAAGTTAAATAAAAATAAAAGTTAATTAAAACTAATAACTAGTAAAAACATATTATCATCATTCAATATAGCTACATTATTACAGGCAATGAATGTGTAAATGAAATTATAAACTAAACTAAACTAAATTAAACCTAACACAAACATTATTTCTCTAGCACAAGAAAATCAAAGAATATTAACGATATTAGGATTAGTTCGGTTTGTTCGGTTCGGTTCGGTTCGGTTTTGAAGGGTAAAAACCAAAACCGAATCAAACAACTACGGTTCGGTTCAGTTTTTACATTCGGTTTCGGTTTGTTAGCGGTTCGGTTTTATTTGGCTACGGTTCGGTATAATTCGATTCGGTTTTCGTTTTTTGGTTTTTCGGACCCAGCCCTAAATAGTAATAATAAGAATAATAGTAACAGTAACAGTAATAATAATAATACTAATAATAATAATAAAACACATAAAAACCAAATTGTAGCATACTAGGCTAATTAAAATCAGACTATACAAAACTTGAAAATACGAGTCTCAACACTCAGAGCATTTCCAATGCTACAATGTGCACGGTGCACATGTGGCATGAGAGATATAGACACAAAATATTGATTTTATGACATTTCTCTCTCCTTCTTTTCACGGTTTTATGTGTTTTTGGTAAGTTTTTGTCTGCAATGTCAACCACAATGTCTAGATCTAGACATTATGTTTGACATTGTAAACAAAAACTTACCAAAATGATGTAAGATCCTTCAAATAAGGAGATAGATATTCTATTTATTGTTTTTTAATTTGTTATTTCTCATGTCACGTATGCACTGTTAACGTTTTAGCATTGAAGATACTCTCAGCGAGTATAAATTAAAACATAATGGAACAGTTCAAAATATAGTAGTCAAATTCAATCAAAATTTGATGTGAAAATTTCAATCCAAGTAAGAAGAAATACATGTGGCCTCATGTAAAACTTTTCAATTAAAAGTTGACTCATTCATCATCTTAATTAATAAATTTGTTCATATTAAAAACTCTTTAATTAAAACTAGTATCTTTACATGTGCCGTGCACGGGATGAAATGAATTTTTTAGTTTTACTATATGTGTGTGCGCGTTGGCATATGTATGAACTATTATAATTAACGGAAAATCGTTTATTTAGTCGATTATATCATTGGTTGATAATGCATGTTCTTATTTATTCATTATATCTTATTTTCAATCTAATTATCTAAACATGTTCTCATCCTATATTTAATTTTCCTATTAAAAGAGTCATCTTTTTATAACTCTCAATTGCATCCAAATGAAATTATTTTTTCAATCATCTTATCTGAATAGAAAAAGAAATTGATCATGGGTGAACGTTTTTAGGGCGTAGTGAGGATCGAAGCTTGGAGTGAGCCTGTATATGGATTTTTTTCAGATAAATTTTACACATAAATTTTTACACTAAAAGTACAAAGAACATAAAATTTTGGGGTGGGCCGTGGACCGGTCACCCCTACCTCCGCCCCTGAATGATTTTGTTTTATTTTTTACTATATATGTGTGTGCGCGAGCACACTGACATATGAGTTATTAGAACTCATGGAAAGTCTCTTATTTAGTCCATTATAACATTGGTTGATAATGTATATATTCTTATTTATTGAGTATGTTTTATTTTTCACTAATTATTTAAACATGTTCTCAGTCTATATCATCCCATATTTAAAAGAGACAACTTTTTATAACTCTTGTTTGTGGCGAACGCAAGAATTTCCGCTAAAAGAGGGCATTGGTGTAAAAATATACGAAGTACATACAAATACATACTCGTATATATTAAAATTCACGGGTAAATATATATATATATATATATATATATATATATATATATATATATATATATATATATATATACACACAAATATATACAAATATATATATATATGGCTAGTAAAAAGGGGGATATTACCCCCCCCCCCCCCGGTCCACCGCTGACTCTTGTTTTATCCAAATGAACTTCATCTTTTCAATCATCTTTATCTAAACACAAAAAAATTGCTTGATGCATATTTTTATCCATTAGATTGCATTTGTAGTTTATTATTTTTTCAAAACTAATAACTATACATTTTTGTGATTTCTTTAAAGAAAAAAAAAAAAAGGAAGTGTTTAATTAATAATTGTTGTGGTCATTTTTTTTTAAGATATTAGCGTTTATAGGATTTAAAATTGAACAAATTAGTCCGTATATCTCCTTTTTTTTAAGAAAAGACTTCAGAATATATAATTTTGTGACATTCTAATTTTAATGAAGGTGGTGACAACGACAACAGGCCTGTTGCATAACGCTATTAATAGCGGTTGATTTATTTTCCTTTAGATTGATTTAAAATGAGATGTCGTTTGACAACACTGTTTTTCGTCTTATCAGGCGTATCAGCCAACTTTTTCACCAAACACGTAACTTTTGCTTTTGCGATTTTTACATATAATTTTTTCTTTATTTTATTAATAAAATATATTATAAAAATATTTTTTTCTTAATTCAGCAGAATTAGCCAAATCAGCTGATTTTCGTGCTACCAAACGGGATCTATGTGTTATTGAACGAAACAATGTTGCATGGTTTGGATTTTCGATCAATAAGCAATATTTACCTAGAAGGCCAACTGAATTAAATTTATAAAAAGAATCTCACATCAAATGGTAGGTAATAACTGAAACATAAACATGTAAAATTATGCAATAAAAAAAGATACCTCATATTAAGAAATGAAAAATGATCTCAATTTTATGACCAAATTATACTATATCAAAGTACATCCATAAGTAAAGGCATTACCCTTTATACGCAGTCTAAGTCTAACTTATTTATCTAACCTCAAACACCACTTTTAGTATCACGATATGAGTGTTATGTATGTAATTAATAAAGCTTTCCGATATCTGAAACTCTCGGCAAAAAATATACTCTGTATCAAAGATTTATGTTAATATATATTTAATATACACTAAAGTAAATTTTTCATAGATCTGATCAAATAATTGATGTCAATTCAAAATATCCTTAATTAGAAAGGTGAACACAAAATTGAGATAGCATTAAGGATGTTTTCTTTTGGACTGTTTCCAGTTCCAGACCGGACCAGACTTCCATAGTGTTATAAATTACACACAGACCAGACATTTACCAGACCCAGACCAGTAAATTTCAGTCCAAAAAAACATCCTAAGACAAATGCGCATTTAGAAAATTTTAACACATGCAATCTTATTTTTACCTGGGTGAAAGATGTTTTATTTTTTTTAGTTTTATTATAGTACATAGAATGTAAGAAAAGCATTTAAGGGTGCCACTTGTGCTCCATGACATCTAAAGAGCTCAGGTTACTGAAAAAAGTTCATATCTAATTCAATAGTCACATAACCCAATACTTATCAACGGCGATATGTGACAATGAGCTTTATTAATGTCATGTTTTCTAGCTAGTTCAATCAAAGAAATGATGAAGTAAAACATCATAAATATTCTAAAACAGTGGAAGAATAATCTAGGAAGGAGAAGTTTTCAATGATATAATTATTGAAAAAATAAGGAGTATTGGTTATTCTTTGTAAAACAATTATATATACTAATTGAAAGACCAACTAAAGAAACGTTATTTAAATTTAGTATAATCATTTCAATTTAACTTTTGATTCTGAATTGATTTAATTTAGTTTAACCCTTATTTCAATTTATAAGTTTTCACTCTAAACTAAATCGAGCAGTTTCGGATGAACTATATCTACTTGGTAAAATAGTCTAAATTTTGTTTTAACATATTTAAACATTTAATGTAACGGTTACCAAGAAAGGTATGCATAAAATTCAATGGATAAAAAGAGACACTGAAAAAGATTAAATGGAGATTTGTTATACACCGCCGTTAGTGTTTTGACTATTTAAGGTCTCACTAAATCATATGGTTTTGATTATTTTATCAAAACACGATAATAAAGAAATTTTGCAGTGAAAAATCATAAAATAATGATTTTAACAATAGTTGTGTAGATCACTTTTACAGTACACACGTAAGAGATTTAGACCATGGGGAGATGAGTTTGAAAAGTGAGGAGAAAAATTCATATGGAATAACGAGAAAGGTGTAACTTTAGATTGGAGGAATCGTGCATAAGAATAGTGAAATTGTGTTAATTCGCTTTGCGTAAAATTTCTAAAGAGTCTAAAATTTATATATGTAGTGAGAGATAGGATGTTTTCACATGTCAATTTCGGTATGTCTGGTCCGATCTGTTTTAAGTATGATCTAGACTGGTCTGGTCTAAAATTGAAATTTTCAGGTTCGGTCTGCCTGGTCTTAGGCTCTTAGCAAATTTTTTAATTCTTTTTAATATGTATTAATGAGACACGTTAATTATACTACCTCCGTCCCATTTATATTGGGACGGAAGAGGGTGACACGGTTATTAAGAAAAGTGGGTTTGTGTGGTTGATATTAATTGATAAAGTAAGAATGATTTAGAGCCACACAAACTTTGCCAAATATGGTATGAGACAATTTAAGTGGTACTTCCCGAAAAGGTAAAACGGGACAATATAAATGGGACGGAGGGAGTATGTTGTAATATGTATACGAATAAGTTACCGAATTACAATGTAAATAAATTGAGATTAAGGAGGGTGTATTGTATATGAATTGTGGTAGATTTTTTTAAATATATGAACTTTTATTAAGTGTATAAACTTTTGAATTCAATTCGTAGACCTTTTATGAATGAATTGTGTTGATTTGCATAAATCAATGGATAAGTCTTAAACTTTTAAATGCGAACCGCCTCAACCACTCGCCGGAGTTTGCTGCCACCACCAATGTAGTGACCTTGATTGTGTAAGGGAGCTAGGGTAAATTAATTATATTAATTCATTAACTTAGGGGTAGTAATTTAATGCTTAATCATGTTTAAGTAAAAATCAACCATATGATCCTATTTTTGGGAAAATGTTATATATGTTTTAGTTATACCATGATTAGTTTTCTCTATATAATATGATATGAAATAATTAAATAATAATTGAAAAAATATAATCATCTAGCAATGTGAGTTCTAGAGTAATGAATGAGGCCTAAGGATCCAAATTTATTTTAATAATTACCAAACTCAACATTTGGAGAATAGTCAAGAAACTTGATCTTGTTATGATCAATTGTCATACTACACAACTCAATGAATAAGAATATTATTTGTTACAAAACTGTTACACTCATTGCTATGTGCGGTACGAGCATACGTGCAATCGATCTTTTTTCTTAATAACCGTTTTCTTTTTAGTTTGTTACAATTTGTTTATCTATATACACTTATATAATAATTAGTTTGATATTATACTTTTATGCGTCATCGGTTTAACGATGACACATAGTAATGGTTGACCATTTTTTTTATTTCTTAACGATTAACTGATGTTCGACAATATACCAGAATTGCACCAATATGATACTATCGATTCATATATCGGTTTAAAAAATTCTAGAACCGAATTGATATTGGATTAATGATTCTTCAAATGGTTCCTAATTTTCTTTCAAACTTCTATTCATTTTTATGGAACCAGTGACTTGTGATCGGTGACCAATCACAATTGGTAGTAATCACCGCCGGCTATCATGACCATTGTTGGCCGACCACTGTCGGTCACAGTGATCACCATTTACTTGTTTCCGTTATATCTATGCCCAGAGACATCGCAACTCTGCAGCTGACACTTTGACCTCACCGTCACTCAGACCGTCGTCATTAGCGTCTAAGCAGCGCTACCCTCTTCACCTCCCCATCCCCAACTCTCTCCCTCCCACCCTTGAATCCTTGATCACATCTGTATTACCCCAAGACCCCCAACCCCATTCCCTCTTTACCCTAAAGCCATGTCCCGTGTAAAGATTTCAACACAACTTATTCCTTCCTTTTGAGTAGTTTCTGAAAAAATTGGAACTTTCACAATAATTTTGTGACAATTTGATACTAAATCAAACAATCAGCTTTTTATGAAAAAGTTGTATAACAATCTTCTTTTAAGATCTTCAGTCCCAAAACACTAACAAATGCTAAAAAAAACTCATGAATTATCTTTTCAATTAATTGTGCTAAACATACCCTCAATAATATGGGATGAAATTGGTAAGAGAAAAGAAGAGGTATTATGGAAAGAGTATAAAGGAAACACACGTTGACGTTATTATCACTAATGAATGAATTAGTCAATATGCCGGAGAAAGGGTCAAAATCACCCATGACATAGGGTGACAAACACAATTACACGCTGCTTTGATTATCAGGCAATCTAGCTCCCAGAAGTTGATGCGCCAGCCCGTACGTGAGGAATGAAAAACTGAAACTAGTAGTAAATCCCCGTCCATCCCTATTTATACACAACAGTGTTACAGTATAAGAATCTCTATCATGCATAGCATATATCTTCTGATAACAAGATTTTTATTGTTATTTTTTTAAAGCTGCACTATTGGTACATACAACAAGGTTTTCCGTCAATTCAAAGAATCCATGGCCAAGTTTTAGTTAGAAATTCCTTGATCGGATCATTGCTCATTGCCTTCCTTGATACTTTCTTTTATGCTCATATTTACCCCATGAACTGCTCCCTGGAAGACGCTGTCTTCAGAAGTGATTGTGGATGACGAGTCCATCATCCCGCCTGAACCCGCCTGAATCTCCTTGAACATTGTCATTACTTGAATCATAGTGGGCCGCTTGAAGGGACGGTCATCTAAACAAGCGACTGACACTTTCAAGTGTTCTAGAAGCTCGATTTCCAAGCACGGGTCTTCTGTCAATAACTCTGGATCGAAGACCTCCCGGATTCTGGTTTTCGCCTGCTGCTTCACCCACCCTACCAGATTGCTGTCTCCAAAATCCGGCAAATCGGTCGGTTGTTTCCCAGTCAGCAGCTCCAGCAAAACCACACCATAACTGTACACGTCTCCTTTTGTCGAACACCGAAAGCTCTGGTAATACTCAGGCGGGACATACCCAGGGGTGCCTGCCAAGGTGCTCACACTCAAATGAGTGTCCACCGCATTCATCAGCCTCGCCATCCCAAAATCAGAAACTCTAGCTTCCAAGTTCTCGTCAAGCAACACGTTGCTCGATTTCATGTCTCGGTGAATGATATGTGGAATGCAGTTGTGATGAAGAAATGCCAATCCCCTTGCCGCTCCGATGGCTATTTTTCTTCTGGCGGCCCAATTGAGCTTGAGTCCGGCCTGTTTCCGGTCACGAAGAACGTCCTCTAAGCTCCCGTACCTCATGTACTCGTACACCAAAAGCCGTTCTTCGCCAACTTTACAATACCCTAAGAGAGGGACGAGATTCCGGTGCTTGATCTTCCCTATCGTCTCCATCTCGGCTGTAAATTCTCGGTCACCCTGTCCACTCACATATTTCAACTTTTTTATTGCAACAATGCTTCCATCTTTCAACTGGGCTTTATAGACATCGCCAAATCCCCCTGAACCTATAAGGCTGTCATTGTGGAAGTTATTTGTAGCTTCAAGGAGATCCGCAAAGGTCAGTTTCCTCAAAGGCTTTTCAAACGTTGCTAGGTTGATGCTCAAAGCTTCACGTATACTCGTCAGCTTCCAGTCGGTGTTGTTATAAGCTGTTCCCGAGGCGGAATATTGACCAACCGTATCCATAGAAGATGACTCTAACGACGACCTCCTCCTTTTCTTTGCCTCTATGGCAACTATGATCAAGCCGATGATGCAGAAGAGAGAAAACAACAACCCCATCGCTACACTTCCAGCAATGGATGCGTGCCTGCGGTTCAAATTCTTGTTATGCTGGTTTGCTCCTGAGCTTGATGCCGAACCACACTTAATCTGAAGAGGGTACCCACAAAGGCCTGAATTATTGGCAAACCTGTAAGAAACAATGACCAAAATATTACTTTAGACGAGCAGTAACTTAAATATTCTCTAACCCTAAATCTATCATAATCCCACTTTCTCTCTCCCCCATCAAATCCACATCCACCGCACAGCCAGAAAATTTCCTTGAAAAGGTTGTTAGAAAAAAATCATAGAAAAAGTTGCCAGAAATTACGGCCTCTGGTTGGTGTGGTTACATGACAAATGAGGAGGTTGCAATAGAGGTTGCAGCTGTTGCGTCACTTGGATTGGAGTAGTGGTAGCGAGGGGTGAGAGTGGATTGGGATCCCCTGCCGTATGGCAGAGTACCTTGCATGCATTGATGGACGGTGGAATGACAAGGTAAAAGCCTCAAGATAAGTGAAAAAATGGTCCCCAAGATCTCCGCCCGTTGAATTCTTGATTAGACGGTTACCAAAAGCAAGGCACCCTACCTTGCTGCTAAAGTAAGGCAGAGACACCGGTTAAAATGGGAGTATGTGACTTTATTATAATAAAAGTACATAATTAGTCACTTTTTCAATGTTAAAAAGGTAGCCATGTTTTTTACACGACCTTTCCTCAAGTAATATTCATTCATTCAAATGAAAAAACTAACCTGTAATCAGGGAATGTGTCAAAAGGAACTGAATCGGGTATCATTCCAGTGAGCAGGTTGCTTGAAAGATCGATATCCCCGAGCAATGTGAGGCCAGTCAAAGTTTGTGGAATTGACCCATTAAGCTGGTTGTGGGAAAGATCAAGAATGGCTACGTTCTTCAGGCCTTTGAGATCTTGAGGAATGGGACCAGAGAGATTGTTGTGACCCAAGTTCAGAATGGAGAGATAATACATGGACCCTAACTCCTTGGGGATATTTCCTTGCAATTTGTTATAAGAGAGGTCGAGGAAGATCATGGAACCATTATGGTTGAATGTAGGTTGGGTGATTCCCTTGTAGACTCTAGTGAAATTACAAGGGTGTCTTGCCGAAATTCTATCGAGTCGATCCTGCCTTATTCCACCGAATTCCAAAAGATTCCCTGCCCCATGACACTCCTTACTCCCGCCGTCATTCTTGATGTACACATATTGCTTCCCCGTGAGCAAGGCCAGCGCAATATTGCCAGATTGTTTGAAAAGAGCGGGTGGGATTGACCCGTTGAGTGAGTTCGTGTTGAGATCCAACCACAACAAGCTCCGACAATTCCCCAGCTCAGGTGGTATGTTTCCGGATATGGAGTTGTTTCCCAGCTTCAGAATGGCTAGGTTAGCCAAGCTCCCCAGTGAAGCGGGAATAGTCCCTGTCAATAAATTATTTGACAAAGAGATCCAATTCAAATTAGTACATTTGCTGAGACTTGCTGGGATGGATCCTGAAAGTTGGTTGAAATCAAGAATCAGATTCTCCAAGGACTGCAAGTTCATTAGCTCCAGTGGGATTTCGCCCTCTAGCTGATTCAACCAAAAGATCAAATCTTTTAGCTTTGACAATGACCCGAGGCTGGATGGAATCTTTCCTACCAGGTAATTAAAGCTGAGGTCAAGAGATTCCAGTTTTGAACAGTTACTTAGACTCTCAGGGATTGGGCCGTTGAATAGATTATTCTGAAGGTACAACACCTTCAAGCTATTTCTGGGGTCTTTACAAATCCCAGAGGGAATCAAACCTGAGATATTATTAGAACTCAAATCTAAAGTCTCCAGCTTTACCAAGCTGGACAATGACCCAGACAAGCCACCCACAAAATTATTGAATGAGAGAACCAGAGTTTTCAAGCTACTCATCTTTACCAGGGTTTCAATAGGCAGCTCACCGGAAAAATCATTATTGGAGAGATCAAGAAGTTCCAAACCTGAGCAATCGCCAAGGGTCTCCTGGAGATTACCAGATAAGTTATTGGAAGACAAGTCCAATTCCACAAGAGTGTCACATAAATCGCCAATGCTCTCTGGGAGTAACCCCCCAAACCCACTTCCCCGAAGGTACAAGTACTGCAAGCTGCCACTGGGAAGCTTAGGAGCCGCACCCACAAATTTATTGTTGGTGAGGTTGAGGAAAATGAGGTTGGAGCAAGAAGAGAGTGAGGCCCCTATACTATTACCAGTAAACTTGTTAGATGACAAATCAAGATGCTGTAAACTGGAGCAGTCTTGAAATGAAGGAAAATCTGTGGAGAAGTTGTTGGCAGAAAGGTCCAAATGTGACAGATTCTTGAAGCTCAGCTCCGGGATGCTTCCGGACAGTTTATTACCCTTCAAGGACAAGAACTCTAGCTCTGGTGACAACAGAAAGAAGATTAAGCTTTGCCCAGAAATATTATTGTGTGAAAGATCAAGACTTTGAAGCTTAATGGAGGTTTCCCCACTTCCGCCGCCGCCATTCCCAGGAAGGTCCATGGAGTTCCTTGAGAGGTTAAGGGTCTTGAGGTTATAACACCAACCGCTAAGGGCAGAAATGTCAGAAACAGATCCTGAGATGGAGTTTTCCGCTAGATCTAGGTAGCTCAAAGAACCCCCGCATTGGGATTTTGAGTCAGAAACAAGGGAGCCAGTGAGATTGGTGTTCTTCACAACAAGGCTCTCCAGGTTTTCAAGACTCAGCAAGTGGGAAGACACCAAGGCGAAATCTACGCTGAGCATAACGCTTGTGAGATCTATGGAAATGACCCTTGAGCTCTTGCATGTGACGCCGGCGAAGCTACATGGGCTTGCTGCGGAGGATACCCAGTTTTGAAGCTGGGTTTGGTCAGGAATCGAAGCTTTGAACAGCAGTAACTTTTGTTCGTCCCTGAAAACCCCGCCGGAAGGAGCTGGTGAAGATGGAGGGAGAAAGAAGATTAGCAAGACGAGAAGATGCAGAGAAACAGTGATGGGGAGCAGGGAGAACGAGGAGAGGGAAATATTGTTGTAGATACAGAAGATGCTCTTAGTCTTCATCTTTCCTTTCTGATGTTAGTTATTCTCTATCTTCTCTTGCTTCCATTTGAGAGTAGAGGAAGGGGGAGAGGAAGACAGAGAGGAGAGGAGGTGGTGTATTAACAGAGAAAACTGAAGATAGGAGGGAGAGAGAAAGTGAAGATGGTCAAAGGGTGTAGTGGAGAACTTTACAAGGATATATATATTGGAAATTCTGCACAGTTTTTTAACATCATTATTGTATTTATTTATTTGTTTATTCATAGTTTTCTTCTTCCCACAGATAACATAGGGAGTGGACACAGCTGGTGTCTGATGGTCACATGGCATTTGATGACCCGCATTCCCTCGAGTCCTAACTAACTAAGGTTAAGTAGTAGGGAAAAGTAATTAAAGTATTTAAATAAAACACTTTGGAAGTACATCATTAGTACTCAGTATGTTTTTATAGGTAATAATAATGCTAGACATATGCAAAATGTATTTTGGCACACCATATATAAAAGTTCATTTTTACCACTCCCAGGCCGGAGCGAGGGCACGAGGTCACACTGGGTCGGTACAAAGAATATATTTGGAAAAAAATTACACATAATTTTTATACTAAAAATATAGACGTTTTTTAAAGAGGGTGGGTTAAGTTCTAGCCTGGCCAGTGGCCACCTCCTAGCTACGCCCTTGACCACTCCCTTTCTCTCCTCTCTCCGTAAGAAACTAAGAAAACTCTTATAATTTTCAAATTTCAATCGGTGCTGCAACTGATGGGGTGTCATCTTTTTTTTCATTACAAAATTATCCTCCCACATGCCTCTTCTTCTTCTTTTCTTCCATTTGCACCACCTTCACATAAACTATCGCCATCTTCATTGCCCTTTATATTTATCAACTTTCATCTTGATCATCTCCCATTTCCTCATTCCATCCTCATCTTCACCATTTCTATCATTTTCTTCTTCTGACTGCCTCACCATATTCACCACCTGAAAAATCATCGTATTTACCCTTATCATCTTCTAGGATCCGAAGAAATAAAGCTTGAAAGCCATGGAAAGTCGCTGGAAAAAATGTCTATATACAGACACTAATTTTTTAGAGTGTGTGTGCCTAGATAAAATTATCAAGCACGTAGATATTGATTTCTGTGCAACCAAAATCTGACATTTTGCAAAATAGCATGCAAACCAATGTCCATATACAGACATTAATTGTGTATATAATGACAATTTGTATGTTTTTTGTTCATGCTTAACATTTTATCTAGGCACACAAAAAAAATATGCTTAACATTTTATCTAGGCACATGGAACCGTTCTGAGTAAAAATAATTTTAATATAATGTGCTTGCTTTGGTCACGATAAACAATATTGCTCGTGAGATACTTGTCTCATGAAGAGCCGATTGTTCATTCATGATGCATAACCCCTAGAATCATGATACCAAATCAAATACGTCTTCGTGGCAGGGTGATTTATGGACGAGACCAACTAGATATGAAAAATGGAAATAACTAGTCATGCACTTCAGTCATTTTGGAACCAAGTCATATGACCAAGGAAGATTCCCCAAATAGGAAAGATGCGGTTCAGTGAGAGTAAAGGAGAATCTGCAGGTCATGTTCACCCTCAGTGAGATCCCATGTTCTAAAGCCCTAGCCCATGGCCGAACGCCTAGGTAACTAGGCGGGGATTAGTCAGAGACATATAAACTATATTTTTTTTATCAATATCTAGCATAAATATGACAACTAATATTGTATTTGTGTGTGTGTGTGTTTATACACAAAATAACATGAATGAATGGTAGAACCCTCACATTAATAATACTACGCAGACTATAACTAATCAATTAACTTCATTATGTGACAAATATTAAATAATAATACTTTAGGAATACATACAAAATATATATTTTTTACCTTAATCTACAAGTAGCTTTCTTCACATCTGTGGCTAAAGTTGAATGTACATATATCTCTTAGAAAAATAAAACAAAAAGGTAAAAAATGTTTGGCGAGTCTAGACGTCCTAGACGGTTGATTAGGCGCTCTAGACGGCCAACTAATTAGTCGGACACCTAGAGCAATTTTTAGGACCACCGGAGTGGTACAATCATTGTGGTGGTTGATGGCTTGAAAAAGAGGTTGTACATACTGACAAGGCAGATTAGTGGGGGTCGTACTTACCTCGTCCCCCTAAATTTTTAGGGTCATTCGTTTATTTAGTAATGAACGCCCTTTTTAAGGAATTGCAAACCTTGCAACTTTGAGGATTAAAGGATACGAGAAACTACCCAACATTGTATCTCCTTATACATATCCAAAATTGACTGGATAGGATAGGAGGACATTATTATATGTATATGATTCTTGGGCACTTTGTCTCACTAAAGCATCTAAAGCTTACGGATTTAGATTGAGATGTATATGAGTTAACCCATGCGTTCTTAGGTAAGTAGAAGGATGAGTCATCCATGGTCCAATGCATCTATGATAAGAATGGATGTCGCCAAATTAACTAACTTCATTCGATTGTGAGAGCTATACAAATAAATTGTTCAAAAACCTCTTATGACTTGCAAGGAACCACTCAGATGAACTTTCAAGCAATGTGAAAGGTGATGGCAAAAGAAAGAATGAGAAGAAGGAAAACATCCAAAAGAGATGGAAGCAGGACAATAGTCCCAACATCACTCCAATGAAAAGTGGTAAGGAAGGGTGGTAAAATTAAAAGTAAGAATAGGGAAAGAAGAAGTAAAGACAAACATTTTGAGAACACCGCTTGATTTGTTTGTCAAATGCTTATTTCACCTTACACGGCTTATAAGTTCAATCGTGGATTGTAACAACAAATAGGGACCAGTTACTTTCTTCAATGAATGCAACGTCGTGCTTAGTGGAAGTTGAGATTGAGAATTAGTGTTGTTATTTCCAAAGTAAAATGGGACACATTATATAAGAACTAGTTGACTTACAATGCTAGGTTAGGAATTGATTTATCACACCTACTTCACCTAATGTTTTTAAGAATGGCGGGTTGTTGAGTTGGGGAGGAACCCAACTTGGCAAGATCCTTGACCATGTGAACATTTTTAAGGCGAATGTTCATATAAGAGCTCAAGAAGAGGGATTATCAATGATCTCTAAGATATCGTGTACGATCTTGCAAAAAATAAGCACCACTAGTGCCTCAACATATTTAATCATCCACTTGAGAGAAGGCACGTCTAATACAAGGACATTGTGAGTAGGGTTGTTAACGAATAAAGCCTTTCCGAACTATTAGAGTTCGAGCTTGATTTCAGTGAACATTGATACTCTGTAGAGGGATAGAGGCTGATCATGGATAAGAAACACTTAAATCCACTAAAGATCCCTCTTTTTGGATTTATCAATGACTACATTGAGTTAAAAGTAAGTATCATATTGCCCATTATGGTGGGTTCGAAACCTTGTAACGAAGATGGACGTTGAGTTTGTTTTCGCAAGTCTAACTAGTGCACATAAGAAAATCTTGAACTAGCTGAGTCTTGAAGATTTGAGGCACGCTACTGTGTATGAACACTTTTTCATGAAACTTAAAACCAAGAGCATGGGGGCCAAAAGATGGTCAAAAGTTACTAAAGCAAGGAAAGCAATCAATTTAGTGAGAGAACGATCTTTGGATCAATGCAATCAACAATAAAGTTATTAAATGTGAGGAGGAGTCACTCAAAGATGAGCCAAACTTTGATGTGGACGAGGTCCAGGTCAAGCTAGGGTCCATAAAGTAATATTGAGACTGAATTCAATCCATTGATCATAATGTGGTATAATTTCATTTAACGTTTCATCCTTTTCGTTGTTCTCTTTCCATAGGGACAAAACGATAATATTAGACCAGGCAAGGAGCATCAACATACACTTATTGTTTGTCTAACTAGTCATTGTACTAATACAACTAAGTAAGAGATGTTCCTCAACCAATATGAGGAGTTTGTCCAAAATGAAATCAAATTCTCCACTACATCAAGCACACTGGAGATATCTAGTAATACTCAGAGTGGCTAACTAAACATGTCCCTTTCACCAAAACCCTGACATATTGGCTTCATGTGGATTATACTTACCTTGGTAGTGATTTTTTTATGGAACCCCTTAGTTTACTGAACATCGACAAGCTGGTTATACTAACCTCAGTAAGGTAGTTATCTATTTTTTATGTGAATTCCTTTTTAGTGTATCAAAGGAGGGTTATATTTTACTTGTTGCTTTGTCTGTAAAATACCTATTATGTTATATTCTTATTACTCCGCTTCTTTTTGTGTTGAAAATGTAGGTTTTCTCACTCTTCTTTTTTGTGATGCCAAAGAAAAGAAAATATTATATTGATGCTTTATGATGTTCCTAGCTAATTGCTTCTTCAATTCGTCGTTTCAGTGTTATTGTAACAGCAAGAAGACCTCGAAAAGATAATCTATTATTCATACTAACAAAGTGAACCTTCTTTGAGGTGCTCAGCTCTAAGGGCTCTGTAGTTAAATGTGGGTAGTCTTACGGTGGGCACAAAGACAAAATGTGCGATAACATCTTGTGTTGATTTGTGAGCATAGAACTAGGTCTAGAGCGCATCTAGGAGTAACGGACTTGGACCATGTGAGGTCGCGGTGTTCTAGCCATACTTAGATAGTCTTGCTTTTAAATTTTGTTTTTCTCTATTTAAACACGTTCTCATTGTAGCAACAAAACTAATATCTAGAAAACCGAATAAATTAGTTTTTGCCGTAGCAAAAATTTAATTCCAAGTATGTTAGGTACAAAAGATTCAACTATAAAGGCGATGAAGCAAGTTTGGATGATTTTGAGGAGCAACATTGTGACACTTCGAAAATTTAAATAAAATAAAATATATCATTTCAATGATCGCATAAAATTTTAACATTTGATAAAAGAGACGTTTTGGATGTTGATTAAATACGGAGTACGACAATATTAAAATGATACTAGTACATTTCTTTTAGATTAACAACAAGATATACAATGTAGCTTATTCACACGTTATTACTAATTAATTAATAATTTAATGATAATATAAACAATAGAAGCTTGACTATTCCTAGATATATGCGCACATATATTTTCAAACATGCTTTACAACATTCCTTTTAATGCACACACGCTATGTACTATTGGGCTGCAGATTTTTAAC